AGTGAGAAATATGTAGGATGTTAAGTGCCATTTTTTATAGCATTAGAAATTACTTATTTGCTGTCTTGGCTGGCAGCTGAGGACTTTAGAGCCCCTTAAACTCAAAATTTTTATGAAGATAATATGAACTCTACTTTATGCTTGACCAGACATCCTGCAAAGCTGCAAATTTTCCATTCATTACAACCCTTCCAAAAGTATCGATTTTCAGAACTTAAACAATCACAAAAATTCACTGTAACTCAGTGTTGTCTAAACTGTGTGCCACGGTACACTGTTGTGCTGCAGGATTTTTTTTTATATAACGTGAGCCGGATGCTGTGTGCGACTGTGGTCATAGCTTACTCCTAAAGTGTGTCGTGGCTCAAAAAGTTCGGACAACACTGCCCTAAATTATCGAAAATTTGTTTAAAATTTTTTCTCATTAATCACCCCATAAATGTCTGTAATCTATCAGGTCCTAAAGTTTAAAACGATATCCTTTCATAAGCATACACAAACATATCAAATCGAGTTCAGACGAGGTTGGAACCAATTATTTTTCGAGTATTTCGTTTCAGGCAAAATGAGTAAAAATCATTTTTTTAGTATGAGCACATTTTGCGTTACGATCGGTCATATTCATTGCCGGTTTCAAATCATTTTTATGTTGTTGTGAATACTCAGACATTTGATTAACCGCAAACACATATGGCTTTTTGGTAATATATGATATAAAAGTATTTGGGGCATCAAATATTAATATTTTCAAGAACGTACCCTTGGGATGGTTTTGTAAGGTTTTAGAGGTTTGATATTGCTTCTGGTAGGTTTTGAGAATAGTATTGAATATGATCGATTTGTTGAAGGAATTCCGATTAATCAAGGGAGTGTTGCAAGTGATCTCAAAATAATTGAAAGAATATAATAATCCTAAATACATCTCTGACTCTGAAAAACATACTTTACATCCAAATAAATCCTTATTAATGGTCCAACCTGAATACCTTTTGAAATTATTTAACAGAATATCACAAAAAATCCCCCGAAACGGTACGACAAGTGAGAGTTTGAAGCATAAAAGAGTTATATGCCATTGACTCCTTTACAAAAGCACACAAAAAATCATGACAAATTTAATTAACTTAATTTGATGTTCATTCACTCTTTATTTTTTTTTTATCTTTTTGTTTATTTTATTTTATTGCAGATAAAAGACGAGATAAAAGTACGAAAAATAAAGAAAAGTAGATTTTACACTCAGAGACATACGAGACGAGAACATCATGTCAAATGACGAAACTTGTTTCTCATATAACTGCGAAACAACTTTATTATACAGCAACATCATCTAACTGGAAAGAAAAAGGTGCGTTTGTTCTAAATAATCATAGAGAATTAAGTTCGCTCTCCTTTTTCATCTTTTTTTTTTATTCACTTTATTTTCCATATTTTATTTTTATTTTTATTGATTTTTCTTGTTCTGGATTTGAAATTGTTTTTAAAAATGTAGAATTGGCTGTGAAAAGTTTTATTTGATATTTATATGTTCAGTGGTGGATAGGCTTGGGTAGATCATAAATATTTGCTGGGATTGAATCTCATTCTGACAATGTCAATAGTATGCTTTCTAGATACCAAAGTCAATCTCGGTCTCGTTCTTGGTCTCGAAAATTAGTCGAGATCGAGAAATCGAGAAAGCATAGTCAATAGTAGCTTTAATTCAGCATCTAGCAATCAAACCTAAAATCAACTTGAATTGCTTATTTCAAGACTTCACTTTCTTATCTGGATCGTTATGGATGGGTTGCATCTTTTGCAGTTTTGTGCCAGATCCCAATAATAACAACCATACTTTGATATTAAACTGCTGACACAAGGTTTTTCAAAATTCCAATATAAAAAAGATTCAAGGTTGATCCATTTAATTTAATTAATAATACCCACAAATACAGGAATGCATGCTCTAACATCCAATCTATCCAGCAATTATCTTAATGGAAGCAACATGCAAATGATTCCTTTGTGAATAGCTGCTATGTCTAAAATGTTCTTACACTATAATTTAAAAATATTCAGAATAAAAGCGATTCAATCATGCAAGAAGTTATCGATTTTTCTTGTGATCTCATTAGAATATAATAAAAATAGTGTCCTATTTCACAATTGTAATTTACATCTTCCTTAGTCTATATCGAGTTGTGACTAGGTACATTGCAGGGTAAATCAGGTCTTATGACGTACTCGTGTCTTTGCAATGTGCAGAGCTTGCAAGTGGTTCGGATTCCACTATAAACTGTAGGTCTAAAGGGTGTAGTACAATAGATTCTGTTCTAATTTGAATCGCAGTGCCTCCAGCTGAAAGGCTGGGCCCTTCACACATTATTATATTATTAGTCTATAATGAAATGGGTCAAAGCTCCATAAAAATTAACATTTAAGTTGCTTTTTGTAGATTTAGCTCGAAGAGCATATCTGTTGTAGATAGGCTAGAGCGTAAGGCTAGCAGTGAAACTGGTAGTATGTGTATGACAGATAGCCAAAGTGAGATAAGTACCTCGGTGGTCAAGTGGCAGGGATCTCTGAACGAATGGCAAGAGATCACATCTTTTAAGGTCGTGGGTTTGATTCCCATCAAACCCTCCTTGTTTTACAATAGTATACACTTATGCGAATTATAGGGAGATCTACATTTTTGTTGCCTGTGTCTCATTAGAAGAACTGTGCAACCTTCGAAGAAAAAAGTGAAAAACTAGATTTTGACTAGGGTCGCCCCTAGTCCAAAATTGAAAATGTATTTCCTTCTTGGTTCTTTGCTCAAAAAAATTTTTTTCATCCAAAGTTTAATTTAAAATAAAAAAAAATCACAGTGAACTTTTAATTTGAAAAATTTGTAAGAAAGGAAAGTTTTTTGCTTTTTCTGAAGCAACGGCTGTTCCTACCTTGCCCAAAAACAATACAGCTCTTCTATAGAGCAGCACGGATCAAATGTAAAAAACTAGAAGTCTCTACGATGTCTCGTTATTGAGATTTCTTGCTGATTAACTTGCTTGTTTGCTTGCTTACAGAAAGCATATTTTGCGATTTTCTCAGCAATGCCGCAACCAATTTGAAATCTGTTTTTTGCAAAAGATGTGAAATTCAAGGCACAAACTTTTCATCTATGAACATTTTAAGCTATCTTGCTCCATATCCTCACAAAATGCTAACGTGAAACGGTGTGAATATAATTAGAATTCATAAGTTTGTGGGCTGAAAGAAGAAAATGCCAGTTCCAAAAAGCCTTTTAATAACATTGAGAAAAATCATCAGCAACTTCATAGAATCCATTTAAACCTGTGTTCTATGGATTACATTATTAAGCTTGAAAATTTAATACAGAAATTTCATTATCAATCTATATTTAGGAGCAGTCATTGTTTATGTTCTTGAAATGACAATCATAAATCATTATTAATACACAATATTACCAGCTCAAAACGATAATACAATGCGGACACAATGGAACTTTATTATCATTATCGCTATCAATAAATTATTATTGATTTTGGTTTTTTTTTTCGATAATAAATTTTTGATCGAGATCGTTTGTTGGCTAGGCTCTCATGACATAATGATACAATGTTTGTTTTATGCTCATTATTTAATGCTGAGCACGACTGCTTTTTTTGGTTTGATTTATTCTGTTGATGAAATATTTACATGAAATTTTTGATATGATTTTCTGTGGCTTGACAATTTATAAAGAATTAAATTTATGAAATTAATTTGCTTAAAAGGTTTTGATTAATATTATTTTGGTTTATTGGGGTGTGTTCTTAAATGATGTTTTAGGAAAAAAAAATTAAAATTGCTCTTGGATGCTTATTTATGATAATTAGGAGTCAGTTTTTCAATCTGGAGCGATTACCAAACCGGATCTATTAAACGTTCTAGTTTTGCGACCCTAGTGGACACAGTTGTCTGCTAGATTGGAATAATAATAATTAATGCTAATTGGTCATTTCTGTTTAGCTTGACAGCATGTGGATAGCTGTAAAATTTGCATACAAATTTTCATACTCTGTTCACGTGACGTCAGTTTGCTTGACGTAGACAACTTACAGTGATTCAATTCGTTCTTCAACACGCTTTGTGACTCACATTTCTTTCATAGTATTTTTGATGATGATTACTTTTTGCCAAGGCGTGGAAACTATCCCAAATATCCCATTTATCCCAAAAATATTCAAAATAATCCTTGAGCCTGTATGCATTAGAATTGAGATATCCCATCATATCCTGAAATTACACGTCCAATACACTAAGGATACGTTGGGTTATCTTTATTATCGTGCATGCATGCTCAGGAATTTTTTGAATATTTTTGGGATATATGGGATAAATGGGATATTTGGGATAGTTTCCACGCTTTGCTTTTTGCAAAATAAAAAGCATTTAAACACATTGCATCATATCTAGGATTTTCTGGGATTTGTTGGAATTTTTAGGGATTTTTGTAGGAAACTTGGGATTATTGGATTAATTTTTGGGATTTTTTGGATTTTTCCCGAGTGTATACGCCTTGCATCATATTATTTGATTTTTCATAGATTATTATTAGGATTCGAACCTTCATATTTAGCTTTAATTGCATTATAAGCAATTTTTTGATACTTAATTCATGAATGAAATATCTACAATCAGTCATACTAAAGAAGTCCACCTTAATAGTAATTTCACATTATTCAAAAGTTGAAAAAGGCGATAACTTTATAAAACAATAGAAATAGAAAAAAATTTCCATAACAAAACATTTCAATTAATTAATTAATCATCCTAAAACATTTTTTTTTATATTCTCTTATTTCTTTCCATACATGCATGCTCCAATCCATTCACCAAACCAAAACAACAACATGACGACAGACAGAATAATTTATGAGCAAACGAGATTGTTTTCAAGAATCGAGCATTAGCATTAGAGTGTAGAGTGAAATAATAGCGAATAAAAAAAAACTAGAAGAGAGAAATCCAAAAAAGTGGAACGAGAGTGAGTGAGTGAGGTAGAACAACAAGCAAAGAAGAAGAAAAAAACTGCAACATGCCATCATCGAGTGAAAAAAATTCGTCACCAACATACTCAAATGAGGTAATATTCTATTTATTTTTTTAATAATGTGCAAATTGAATACGAAGCTAAACATTTAGCATTGTGTGATGTGCCCCATTGTGATTTATATATTCAATGAGCATTTTTTTTTCGTAACATTGAAACTTTTGTGTTTACGTTTTTTTAATTTAATACATTTTGGATGATTTTTTTACATTCATTTGAATGCGCTCTAGATCTCAATTACAAAATCTCTGTCGTTCTCTTGGTCCAATGTCAACCGACTTTATTTGTCTTTTAAAATTAAATATGAAAAATAGCACATAGACATGCAAACCATAACTGACAACAAGTGCTTTTTATTTTCAATGGATTTTTAAACACTTTTGGGGGTTGTTCATAAGTGATGTTATTTAAAAATTACCCCCTTCCTCCTCCTCCCTCTCCTTAATTATCACAAATATTCCCTAGTCTCATTATTTAAGTGGCAATCACTGTCTCTTTTAAGGAATATGCAGAACAGCTCAAATACAAGCCTAATTCCAAATTCTACATCACCACTGAATGACCCCACAGTTTAGAGTCTAGTGATAAATGGAGATTTTATGGGAAGATTTTCATTTTGTATTGCTGCCTTAGTTTCTCTGAGACACTTGTTTGAAATTAGATTTATTTTTCATGCTGACAGTTCTGACAGTCTTATTAAATATTTTTTTTCCCACGATGGCAGTCGCAAGAGACTTTTATTGGTGGATTAATGGTGATACATTTAAATTTCTTGAGAAGGATAAACTGATCTGAATGTTAAATGAGATTATGGAAGTAGTTTTTATGATATGATGATGGGATCAAGTTTATGAATATGTAATATCATCTAGAATACTTTGGATTCAAGGTTTTTTGCTCTTCCTGAAGAGGAAGGTATAATGTTCTTGACTTTTTCTATCCATTTATCTTACTCCTTCTGGGAATAAAGCATCGATTATCTTTTAATGTCAATTTGCAGCTTGAACTTTGAAAAATCTTGAAGGAATCTTGTAGATTGAGAGATGCTGTCACTGGGAAAATGATTGATGGAGTATAATGGCTTTAAAGTTGTCTGCAGTTGCAGGAAGTTCAGTTTAGTTCTTCTATATCAAACTTGAGTTTCATAATCCTTTCCATTGCTGCTCGATCATTGTTTTAAAAGCTTTAATATGCTGTTTAAAAACAATCCCATCAAAATTTTTAATTTAATATCTTTACAAATGTCCAATTTATTTAACGACTTCCATTTGGTAGCAGATTGCAAATTATAATTTTAATTATGTGTATGACAAAGCGAAACATTTGACATATTTTGAGCAACAAATTTAAAATTTAATAATATAATTAAGCGTATAATTATGCCATAAATTGTAATCTAGAAGCCCATCTATCTAACTTGCCTCGGGTATGTCAAAACTATATTTCTATTGTAAATGAATTAAAGCTCATAAAAAATGCTTTAACTCACTTAAATGTCATAGCAGAAGAGTCTACGAGTGAGAGGGAATGAAGACAAAAATAGAATAATGAATGACTTGGGAGTAGGGAGCATTGAGCATGAGAGCGAGAAGACTCGTATAGCCAAGATAGAAGAACTCATAAAACTGGAAAAAGACTGAAATTGGATCAAGTTTCTTTTCACATTTTCCAACACTTGATTTAAATAAATTAGATTTTCTCTGCATATAAACATGTTCAACTATTGTGGATGCATGTAAAATGCTGAAGGGCGTAGCAAGCAGTGCAAAATCTCAACCGCTTATGCTGAATTGTGCATCGTCTCATGCTCATGCTCGCTTGCCTGCTTACTTATTTACAAGGTTCATTCTTCACCGCAGAAAGCAGTGCAACATTATGCTACCCACAGGGCTTGATCTCTTTCGCTGTTCATTCATATTACACAAAAAGTTTTAGTTTAGTTTAGTTTAATGTTAATAGCTCTTTTATAGAATCACTCAAAATATGTAACATTAAAAAAAAGTTTCTCATTATGCTGGTGAAATACATTTTGTTGTGAAATTTGATGCATCATATGAATAGATTAATGAGCAGCTTCTGCATTCAGTGCATGTTGCTGATTACAGAGTTGGGATTATTACATTTTGGTTGAGTGACTAGTCACTAGATATGGTCCAAACTATGGCCAGTGGAAGCCTCTTTCTTATTTCTAAAGCTCCTCTAAAATTCGATGTGGGGCCGTTCACTTATGACGTCCAAGGGGGGGGGGGGGGGGGGGGGGGGGGGGGCAGCAAGAAAAGAACAATAGAAATTCCTGGAAATCTATTGTTCTTTTTTGAAAAATGACCGTTAATTTCGGACGTCATAAGTGAACGGCCCCTGTCGAACAATTTAGAATTAATGGGATTCGAACTTAAGCTATTATGAAATGAAATCACAGATTCTTTAATTGAAGATCTTTACTATTCCGTCACTAGCCTTCTCCTATAATTTCGACTATATGTTGTATATATTCAACTAGCTTCATACTAAATCATCAACTCTGAAATGCTGTTGTGTACAAACTTTTATTTTTATTACTTTTATTCGGATGAAAAGCATTTACATCAAACTACAAAAAAATAATGCAGCAGAGAATTATTCAACATCAAAGAAGTCGTAATCTTTTAATCAGGTTATGGGAAAAAATTGAATTTCAAAGTTTTGCTGACGGATGAGCTGAAAATAATTTTTGTTTGGCTTCATTACTTCTTGTTTTTACACAGAATTTTATGGTACGTTGGTTTCTTTCGAGAACTTTTTGAATGAAATTTTAACTTAAAGTTTTTAAGTTTTATTGAATTACTTTCCGGAGCTTCTTTGTTGGAGTGAAATTATATGAAATGAGGAAGCACTAGATTTTGTTTGAATGCTTTAAAAGTTTTTGTTTGTTCTCGAGAAATTGTGTAGCACTGAATCCTTATATTGAATTTTGAAAAGTATAAAGGAAAGTTACATGCTTGTTATTGGAAACTAGAGCAGATTTTATGTCAATGATTTGAATCAGTCTATGGATGCTGAATTGAGCAGTTTAATGTTAAAGGTAACCATAACAGCAATGCTGAAGCTAGAAAAGTGTTTTTTGCTGATACGTTCAGTTGGCAACAATACTAGCCCGAGCGGCACAATTGCAAAATGTTGATATGGTTGCAAAATGAAGCAACAAAATATAATGCACAAAAAATGTTGTGAATGCTAGGTGCTGTCCTAATTTCATACCTGATAACGTCAGTTAGCTAGGGGGCTGTTCACTTATTACGTAAAGCGAAAAAATGACTTCTTAGACCCCCCCCCTCGTAACAAAATTTTATCGAAAAAAAAATTTCCTTGTTTGAACCGTAACAAAATCTTAGACCCCCCCCCCCTCCCCCTAAAAGCGTTACGTAATAAGTGAATGGCCCCTAGCTGGATTTCAATAATGATAACTTTACAAGCATGAAGCTTAACTAATCTTAAAGCAACTGCAGAAATTACAAGAATTTACTAAAATCGATAGCCAGGCTTTTAGTTTTGTACTCCAGTTCTCTTAAAACACACATTTTTCAACGCAGATACAAGCAGATAACCATCCTAGCTTATTCTGATTAGGCTACTCATCCATGTATCTAACATTAACAGCTGTTTATAGTGTCAGCAAAAAAAGGCTAATGATAACATCACAGTGCCTTATAAAAACAATAGAATAACATTATAAAATGCAAATGTGCGTGTTGTGTTAAATAGCTTGCGGATATTTAAAATATATTTTGTGCTGCAAAATCCTGAAAACTTTTAAATTCTCATCTAAAATGCTAAAAACTTTGAAGCTAATTTTCATAAATTTCCATCGATTAGCTATAAAAGTTTTCCATAAAAATCAATTAAGCTTCAGAACATTAAGCGATGTGTTGGAGAAAATTTTCATAAAATCATTATTCGTGCTATAGCTCTTTTATTTTACACTTAATTGAGCGAAAAATTTCATTAGAAAATTAATTTTTGATAAAAGCATCGCAGCTATGAAGTGTATATTATAATTTACACAAAAAGTGAGGCTGAATATTGTCTTGAATAATCCAACAGCTTACATAATTATACAGTAAAATAAAATATGAAATAGAGGCGGAGCAACAGAATGGAAAACAGTTTTTAATTTTTATTTTATTATTCGTTTAGCATGCTGGAGATGACAATTAAGTTCTGTAAATTACATGCTTGCGAATTTCATTGACTCTAAGAGCTTGTAATTTAAATTTGTGTTTAATTCTAATACGTTTTGCTAATTTCTCAAAATTATACGCTTGGGGTGAAGTAGATGGAATATTTAAACAGTTATTGCAGACACCTTTGGGGTTCAGTGGATAAAAATTGGGCCAAACTTCCCCACACACATTTTTCCCATACTATGATTTTGACATTAATGTAATCAGTAAGCAAGCCTTAAATAAACATACATTAACTTAACATAACAGCATACGATTCTCATAGTTTTTATCACAACCAAAACAGCTACGCACATGACTACACAATTTACATTAATCCACTGTAAATAGTGCGTATCTTATGCGGTGGGTGATGTGTTGTAATTTGTGAAGCTAATTTTATTTGATTTTCGTAAGCATTTAGTGTTAAAGTGTTGATATCGTTGGATATGTGCCGAATATTTCGAACGATGAGAAATGTTGTGTGTGAAAGGTTGCAACATGTTACATGTGCGTTGCTAATTACAGCTTAGTTCGTTCTTATTTGGTTTTGGATTTGAGTTTATTTTCGGAATGTGTGATTTTTGAGGGTGCAGAAGGTGACAATGGAATTGTAATTGGTGTCGTTTCTCTTGTTGATAGACGGTTTATGTTTATATGCTCTACATTTTGATAGTAAAAGGCAGAGTTGGCTATAATTTGCTTTACTTACTTACTTTGATGACCTTACAGATCAATTGTGATACATGGCCTCCCTCAGATGCCGTCTAAAACTGGCTCTATCGCTGGATACCGCTTGCCAATTTCCTTTATCAAATGCAACTCTCTCTATCAACAGCCTCAATATAATTTGCTTTGTCGGACATTAATAAATCTCAAGTTATGGCTCATTGTGTCTAATTTATTGTGTAAATATCCTTAGAATCAACCCTGACTATCAAAATTCACCCATCCAATCTTCTCAGATCTGCTTAGGTAGGCAAAAATCACAATAAACACAATAATTCTTGCTTGTCATCAGCCATCCTATAAATCCAATTCTTTTATCGTTGATTATTCATGACCGGCAAAATTCTCACTGAGCTAGTGATTTGTTTGAATAAATTTGTGGACAAAACTCACATAAATAGACTTTATTAGATGTTAATTTATTCTGAGAAAAAATCTTGGGCAGCAATTCAATTGGAATTTTCAAGGAGGAAGTTTTGATGTTTTATGGAACTAAGGATGAATTCATTGCATAAACATACGATTACGAATTGTATAATCCAATAAATAAAAGACATGACCTTGGCTGTTCTTTTGATTGCCTTGTGGATGTTTTGGATGTTTTGGATTGTAAGACACTATACCTCAAATTTAAATAGTCATCAGCATCTTACAATACTATAAAATGTTAGAATTCTAAGATGATTGACCTTCCTTATGATTGAACTCACAAAATCAATACAACCTGCTCCATAAAATTCTCAGATGTGAACCTTTCAGACAAAGAAAGAAAATTCTATTCCTAAGCTGTGCTCCATCAAAAATTCAACAACATGCTGCTGCATACAATCGAATTTCATTCATTGAAGTATTGAATCTGTACATTTGAACTTTTGCTGACCAATCTTAGTAAATATTTAATTTTGCGCTCGTTGATTTTTTCAGCAAAGCTGCTTTAAAGTCAGCAACAGATGATTTTTTATTTGTTCTAATAAAAATATTTGATCATATTATGAGATGGACAGATAAAATTTAAAGGAACGGCACGAAATTATTTTTAGCATACGGAAGGTTTTGTGTGACTAAAACAATCATCAGATTTGATCATTTTTTTGGGTCTCTAATGCTTCTCATAAATAATAATTGCCTTTTAAGGGGATATGTTTGTGGACACATTATGCATTAAAAGATCAGAATTCATTAAAATTTCTGCTGTCCTGTAATGTAATGAATCCCATCAAAAACTTCCTGTAATATATGAATTTTTAATGGATACAACGCTGTATGAATGTTGCCAGAGGAGTTTAAGGGGATCTAAGGATTTACCGAAAATTGTACCTGGTAGTAAGACCCCCAATGAATCTTGATATGCTTACAAATTCTACCAACCAACAATTCTGTCTAAATGGTTCTAATTCCACCCTAAATCAAACAACAAGCTCCTATATCAAATTCTAATTCCATTAAAACATTTCAATTTAATTTGTTAATGATAAAAGGCATTTGATATGACCAGAACGACCAAAACACACAAAAGACAAAAGCAAACAAATATTATAGTTAATCGTATTCAAAGCACATGCTCTTGTTATTTCATACAGTCTAAAAGTTATCCCAAACTTTTTTATTACCTTGACACACAAAAACTTCATTCTTTTCCCTTGTAGACCTTCCGTTGACCTTCCTTTCCTGTAAAAAAAATATTGCTCATCTCGTCGCTCAGAGAAAAATTCCTTCATGCTTTTTAAGCTAAAAAGATCCACTTCTCTGCTTAATGCGAAATGATAAATGTGACAATTTTTTAAGCTTACATAAAATTTCATTCGTTATGAAGCTTGATAAAAATGATATGACAAAGAATATAAAGTTTCGTAATCAAGAAAAGAAACAAAATGAACTTTTATGAATTCTGAAAACGTTTGTTGAATAAAAGGTTTTATTGTTTACTGTGCAAGATACGAGTTTGAAATCGGAAGTTTGTCCCGAGCTATGTAGAATTTTGAAAAGATTTTAAGTTGAAGAATTATGAATAAGACATTAAATTTGAGTAATAAATAGGTTTGTTGTCTAAAATCTTGTAAGGTTTAATTGAAAAATTCATGTTCTGATGAAAAAGTTCTGGTTCGAATCCTACAAGATATAAATCACTTGAAACACTATGCTACGAGTTTTTTTTTTGTAGATGAATCAGTTGACATTCACTTTGATAGCTTCAACAAATTCCTAGAACTGAGTTTGAGTCTTTCCACAAGATTTTTCCCATGTGTCTCTCGGCAAACTCCCTAATCTAATTGTACTTGTTACCCCCTTGAGAACAAATCTCTTTAGACTTAATTTAGTCAAGAAGTTTATATGTTTTGTAAATATTTCACATGAATGTGAATGAGTGGGTTGTGCCTTTATACACTTAATATCAAACACAAGACGATTGTCCTTCAGAGGAAAGCTCAAACACACTCACATAATCCGGCAAAGTTCCTTACAATTTTATTTCATATGATTTTTTTTTCTTCTCTTTTTTTCTCATTTCATCATCACATAAAATATTTGTTCAGGACGCAAAAAATAATGTTGATGCAGATTTGGTGATGCTTGAAGAGCTGAAAGTAAAATGTCGTGCCCAAACGGAGCAAATAATGGCTTGGAAGAAAGCTTATTCAATGCAGGTAATTGAATTACGTCTTTTTATTATTTTATGCTGTGGCTTTTTTTATTTATGACACATGAACTATAGGAAAATGTATTATATCTAGTGTATGTAGACGTTGGTCACATGTGAGTGATTTAAGCGCATTTATGGAGAATTTAGGCAAAAATCTGGGTTTAACAAAAATTTGAAAAAAAAAATTATGGTCAAAATAGAACAGAAATACGAGACACGCGTTGTGTTGGGGCATAATGGAATCTGAGGCAGGTATCTTGAGTACATACTAGTCTTCCAAAGAAAATGGCTCCTTAAGTATCGAGTCATATGTAGGCGAATCTCTTAGGTTTTTTGAAAAGTTTCTATGGCCAAAGGGTTAAGCAACATATTGAATTCCCAATTCTCTTATTTGTGAGGACGTGAGATCGATTCCTTCCACAGGTCAAACTCTCTTAATAAATGTCTTATTAGACTGACAAAATCCGAGCAAAAGCGTCTCTCCCTTTCTACAAAAATCCGCTAAAAATAGAAGCAGTGCCCTGAGCAGTGCACAAAAGTAAATAAATAATAGTGAGCATAAAGAATAGAGTCTCAAATCCAATCATGAGTTCATGAGTGGTTTCGAATTAAAGTTTCCATAATTAATGTTTTGAAATAATTTATTTTTCTTTACAATATTTTTCCATTCTCTCGCTGTCTATTCACTTAAAAGATCTTTTCTTTCTATGTGCAATTTTTACCGAACTAAATGTGCTATTGTTTTCACTACGTTAGACTGGTTTTAAATAAATGGTTTAGATGAAAATAAAAAAAAATAAAAATGCTGGTTGACTCAATTAGTTAAACTGAGTGTGAAATGTAAACTAAAAGTTATTACATGGATTGTGCTTGTGGAATGACCTGAATTCATGCCAAAGGGCAATTTTGTGTTTTAAGATTACCGTTTAACTTTTGACATGTTTGATGTTTCAAGAAGTTTAACGAAGGAAATGTTTTTTTAAATTTGGCCATTTATAGAATTGGGCAATAAATGAAATCGACATACATAGAGAAAAAGAAAACTTCTTAAGACGTGATATTTTCATTTAGCACAGTATGAGATCATAGTCAGCAATATTAAAAAGCTAAGTTTGTAGCTTATAAATAGATTGGCACAATAAAAACAAGTTGTCTAAAGTGGGAATTGAACCCACGTGTTGTAGCGGTTTCTAAGTACACACTTTTATGATTTGGCTATTTGGGATGGACACAAAGCTAGTTATCAATTGTATTCAGAAATGGGAAGTCTATTCGACCTCTCGAAAAGAGGATTTAGATTTTTCAGACCTGGTGCAATCAAAGGAAGGGTTTTTAACACCTAAGATCATCCTTTGACTTTATTGGATGTCATAATTGATGCAGCTTTCATAGAAAATTCCATTAAGACACGATTCAAGCTATGCCTCTAAATAAAAGCATTAAAAATCTCAAAAATCTGTCCATGCTTTTTAATTCTCCAATCTCAATTTCTAATGTCACCAAAAAAATCAGTAAATCGAAAGTTAAATCTCATTTTAATCTACCTTTTGTCCAACAATGATGACTCAATTATCACAGCTTCAAAATACGCTCTAATCACCTCCTCAATCAGCATCACTAAGTCGACCTTTTAACTTTCTACTTTTATTTCCCTCTTCATCATCAGCTAAGCTGAATAAAACTAAATAAAAAATTGTTGGCAAATATCGACGAAATACGAACGAGAGAAAAAATAAAATTCTCATTGTCTTCATTCCCATGGATTTTGAAATAAGAAAAAGAAGATAAAAGCTACGAAATAAGAAGAAGTAAAAAGAGATGCATTTTGTGACCTCAATAATAAGAAGAAGCATGGTTAGAGTAATTGCAAAGTCATACTGAATACTGACAAATGAGAAGTTAAATCATTTGAAATTGAATACGCTTGAGATCAGTGGAATATATTCATCTTTACAGAAACATTTAGTTCACACCGATGTTGCAGGCTCACGTAATGCTAGAATGATTATGTGAATCTATAAGCTCATCGGATTCAATTTTTGTAATTCGCCTTCTTTGGCTTATGCTTATGCTTATGTGTGAAACATTACATGTGCTCTGAAGAAGTTTTTTTCAATTTTGAAAATTTTTAAGGGATTTTCTTTGCTTCCTGCTTTTCTTCTAAGAAGAAGCTCGCTTCACGTGTGAACAAAGTTCTTATCGTACATAAAACCGTATCTTCTTCCTATTTAAGTGCAAATACTTTTACAGTACAAAAAGTTGTTAAAAAAGTTTTATTTTTGCCTTTGGAAAGAAGTTTTTTTTTTTGCTGGGGCTGCAGTCTATTTTCTACTGGTGGCTGTGACAAAAATGTAGATTGTGTTTGATAAGAAATTTGTGGGGAATCACAAAGAGATTTTGGGATGTTGTTAAGAATTTCTTGAATTTTTAAAGAGATTTATGGATTTGTGGTTTTTTGAAGGCTGTTTAGAAGTGTAAGCAACTTAATTCTAGTTTATTTGACGCTAGTCTCAAATGAGGTTTTATGAAGAGAACTTAGGAGCCGTTCAGTGATGACGTCCAGGGAGGGGTGGGGGTCAGCAAGAAAAGAATAATAGAAATGCTTGACCGAATGACCATTAATATCGGACGTCGTTAGTAAACGATCCCTTAGATCTATGTCCAGTTTTTGAGACCAGCCAAATCCTATCGCCAAATGTGGTTTACCAAGAATTTCAAATAAATTCACTTTCGGTTGCAAACCTCGTAAAAATGAATTTAAACCAAATTTTCTTTCCATTTGAAACACTTTTCCGTCAAGCACATTACTTTGTGGAATCGAAATTTTTATGTGCTTCAGAGTTTTTCAAGGAAAATGTTTACAAGATTAGAATATTGGGTTTGGTTTCCGGGTAACGCAAGAGTATTATCATAATTTTATTTTCGAGTAGATTTTGTGTGAAAGCCGTACTCAAATATTTGACAAAGAGATGAAATGTTTGAGACAGATTTGCAATAGCTTGTCAAAATAAGATTTGTGTTGTTGATAAGGCGTTTGAAGTGTTTTTGATTTATGATTGTTGAAAGTTTATTGAGAGATTGGATAAATTTTGAGGGAGACTGTGCATATCTAAGGTATACTTAGCAACTGGCTACTAAAGTCTAATTTTGAAAAATATTTCCTCAATTAACTGCCTTAAAATTCTCTCATTTTTCATCAGATTTTCTCGACTTCCAGAATCTTTTGTTTCAAACATTTCTCATAAATTTCGAAACATCCAAAAGTCTTACTGCCATAATTATTCATTTTGACATTTTCATGAGAAAAATCATCACGAGCAGAAAATAGAACGAACAAAAAAAGTGTACTCGAGAATCGTGATAAATAATTCAAACATCTTAATTAATTCCATACTTACCAAATGATTAAATATGTTTACAGACGTCTTACATGAAATGCTTACATCTTCATTTGCTTTGCTTTCTGTTTTCATACGAAGTCTGATTCGAACGTGATAACGAGATTTTCGTAAAGATTCTAAACGAGATGTTGGAACATTCATGAGAGGATAATGATTCTGATTGAAAACTTTCATGTACTGTAAATTATTTCAAGCAGAAATTGATGAGGTTTGAGAATTGTCTGTTGATAGCAAGTCAGGAACGGAGTTAGGATGCTCAATTTAGATTCCATTCTCAATTAATGAACGTAACTGGATCTCATATCGAAGTTCTCAACATTTAATTAAGGAAATATCTAAAGCTTGCCACTCAATGAAAACAACAGCAAAATTTTATTGCAAAATCGACTTCACCTCAAGTGTCTTTATACATTTCAAGACCCAGCTCAATTTAGAAGTCAGCCATCATTTCACAACAGTCAATAGAGCTTCCAACCAGAAATAATTTTTTTTCATTGTTTTAAAAACTTTCATTCAATTAGATGCCAATTTTTGTGTCAAAACAAAAGTTCAATGAGGCATCTCCATGACAAATTTACCTTCAATGAGAGTGAAACAACGAAGCACCTTCAAAACTTTAATGAACAATCTTCTATTTCCATTCAAGATGTTCAATTGTACAGCATCAAGTAAGCTCTTGAGATGAAGATGCGGTAATTGCAAAATTGTTATAATTTATAGCAAGAAAATACTTTAAAGCTCTCAAATTGCCAAGTTAGCACGTTGCAAAGCTGTTTACGAGCCAACTAGCTTTCTTGATGCTGTTCTTATCTCGTTTAATACAATTTTTATCGATCTGTTCTTCCTATACATTTTTTTATGTGCTTAAAAGAATTTCAGTTCATAGCTCGATTATTTACACAATTTTTTCCAATCTTAACACAGCCAGAAAAACCCTAAATAAATTGAAAGCATGCTTCTTCTATTTAACAAGGCTGAGTAAGCAAAAGTGAGTAGCGAATGAGATGAAAAAAAAAAATTCTTCAACAAAAGAATTCAGCGGAAATTAGATAGTGAAGTGAGCACTACATAATGGAAAACTTTCATTCTTCTGTAGTTTCGTTTCTTTTCCTGCTGACTCTCTTTTTCATCCTCTTTGTAGCTTGTTTTGATGGCTGATAATGAATTTTTATTGTTCAGTTTTGCTGACTGAAATGATCATAATAGTTTAATGGAAGTAACAATTTTCTAATTACATGATGAATCATGTAGTGTGAATTACAGAAATTAATTAATTACAAATGTTTGTTACGGATTAGCTGTCATGTTTGAGATACGAAAGACTAAACTTATTGTATGAAATTTTCTTTACTTGGTTTTTGAAATCATGTGATTAATGCTGGATCTTGAATTGACTTCAAAATTATGCAAAAATGTTTCAAATGAATATTGTCTAATTAAATGGTAATTAATCAAGTTCTTTTGATGTGTCTCAAATTAAAGTTTAAATGATCTTGTTAAATACAATGTTTAGGTCCTTGAGTGGCATTTAAAACTATTAGTTTTAGCAATGATTAATTTATTGTCAACAAATATGAAACTTTATGTTTCAATTGATGCTAGT